ATATATAATTAGTCTCTAAGGTGCTACAGGACCACTTGTTTCTAAAGTTTTTTTAGAACATAATAATAATGCCTAGCCATTCACTCTTTTAAAGTCCAGTGCCAACAACAACTGAATGAAGACCCCAGTTCTGGCAAGGGATCCATATAGACCATGGGTACCACAGACTGGATTACATCTGAGACCTATCTACTGTGAACAGCATAGCTGAATTGGATGTACTTAGACTACTTACCATGCTGTCTTCCATGCAGTAAGGTCGGCGGCTGATGTTCTCCTGTTGACTCCGCCTACTCTTCTCATCCTGGTGGAATGCCAGAGTTGATGGGAGAGCGCTCAGAGGTCAATTTATCATGTCTAAGCAGACACAATACATTGACTGCCAGAAAATCGATTGCTGGAGTTGATCCACTGTTTAGTGGAGATAAGCCCTGATAGTGGCCAGTACCAAATGCTTCAGTAGGCAGATGTGAAGTGATCCGTGTCCCCCACCCAACCCCTGGAAAGCTAGGACTTATCCTGAGCCACCCTAAGAGCCAACCCTTATTCTTGCTTACCCTCCTATTGTCAATGAGATTCCTCTTCAATGGACTGGGACCTAGAAGTGCCATGAAATACAGTAATGTTATTAATAACATTGAGCTCTTACAGGGCCTGATCCAAAGCCCAGTGAAGTCTCTGAAAAGTCTCCCATTCAATTCATTTGGATTAGGCCCCTATAGAGCACTTTATATCTGCAAAGTCCTCTGCAAATAATAACTAATATTATATGTCACTATTCGTTTCATGCATAAGGATCTGTGCGGGTTCATTAGGCACTGAGCCAACCTTAAGTGTTTGTAAACCAAGTAGTTTTTTTGGAATGGGTTTATGAAGACCCTAAATATAGTTATCTGGTGACATCAAGGTCGAAAGAGCACATTTTTTCCCCATAGATCAAAGGTGGGCTTTTGTTCTATCCATTAGGAAGAGTGAGTAGTCTGTAGCTCTGTCTATTTAATTTCATTTTGATTGATCCTTCAATACTCTAAGGGGGAAGTGAAGGCAGAACTCATGTCCTGGAAAACACAGCTGTGCAATCCAACTTTCAAAATACAGATTCACTCGCCCTAGAAAATAGTTTGGGCATAGGCCTTGCTTTGAGCAAGAGGTAGAAAATGCGGGTATTGAACGAATCATAAGTAGGAGAAGCTAAGTATAGTTCAGGGAGGAAGGCGAAGGCCCAAGATGCCTTTCTTCCAGATATAACCTCAAGAACATTCAAGTAACCTCATTTGTGGCTGCTCTCACTGCTTTGGTCAAAGAACTTTAAGAGGCTGTAATCCTATCCCTTGTCAGTTTCTGTGAGAATGATGACAGCACGGCTGAGTAATTAAAGCTGCAGTATGATACTATGGATTTAGTCAAGTTACCACCGTCTGATGAAGGATTGGGATGCTCTCAAACCCCCAAACAACCTCAAAACAAAAATCATTTCTATCCTCTAGAGTGTTCAGAGAAACACCCTGGAAACCATGTGAAATGTACAAGCATAAAATGTGTGTTGAAGGCAAAGAAAAGAAATGCCATTTGGCACAGACAGTACTTCTGCAGGGTGTATTCTGGGTTCAATAATCTCTTACAAATGTAAAAAGGAATAAGAATAACCATGACAGTTCTGTGATCTGTCTATTCATTCCCACTGACGACAGAGGCACCTGCTGGTAAGAGAAGAAAGTGCACGGTCTTTATTCTCTTTGGGGGATATCAATAATAATTAATAAAAAGGATCATGTGAATAATACCCACAGGGATGTGATGTGGAATTTATGAATGAATGTGATCTACTTAGAGTGCTTGGATGGTAGGGCTGCAAAGGGAGTGGTGGAAGGATGGTCTTGTGATTAAGCCATGTAATTGTGAGTCTGGGGATGTAGGTTCTCTTTGCAGCTCTGCTACGAAATTCCTGGGGCAAGTAATTTAATCTCTGTGCCTCGGTTTCCCCTCCTGAAATAGGGATGCTTCGTCCCCACCTCACAGCTTGTCAGGATCATTTTAATAGTGTTTATGGGAAGGGTTCGGATACTATGGTAGCAAAGGCCATAAGAATGCTTATAGAATCATAGAAGATCAGGGTTGGAAAAGTTCCTAGGAGATTATCTAGTCCAACTCCCAGGACCAACACCAGCGAAATCATATAAAGCATGAAAAATGATGTTCTTTTCATCAAAAAACCAATACCCAACAACACTGGCACATCTGCTGTTTGTGTAGGGCAATACTAGATCAACTCCACACTCCC